TGGCTATCCGGCTCATGGCTCCATGACCCCACTCCTGTCGCCGCTAAGTTATTTGTTAACCTCCCTGAGCCCCACGTTTGTGTCCCCAGAGGGGGCTGTGCCTCCTGCCTACACCAATCTCTCTAGGTGCTGCTTCCTTCTGAAAATAAGAGGCTGACCCCGGCCACTTCCTGCCACCAGGACCCACACAGTGGTGCTCACTGTGCTTGGAGCTTTGAGCTGGGGCAGTTCAGTGAGAGACATTTACTCAGGCATTTGCCCTGCCTGTGACAGTCCCACGTTGCTCTGATAACGTGGTTATCAGATGAGAAACTGGAAGCTCTGAGAGGCTGCGTCCCTCACCCCAAGTCACAGAGCTAGTCCAGGGCAGAGCTGGCATTCTCCCCAGGACTGTCCTGCCCCTATGTGGGCTCAGAGTTAGGAGCTGACAGCCTTCCACTCTCCCAGCTTCTTCCTTGAAAATGGGGGGGGGGGGTCTCGGCACAGGGACCCCTGCTTCCCATCAGCACAGATGAGAAAGTGGAGACTAGAGAACTCGGGGAATTCGCTCCCCTCTCTGGCGCATAAGCAGCAGAGCTGGTCCCTGATTCCGCCCTGACCCTTTGCAGGGGTTGTATCTCTTTTCTTCTAACCAAGAGGCGATCTGGTCCGCTTACCTGGGCCTCTGGGCCTGAGCAGGCTCTCAGGATTGTTCCGATTGATGGATCCTGGGGCCCAGCGCAGGAAAAGTCAGAGAGAGAGTGCTCGAGCCACTTGGCCCTCACCTGCAGCCCAATCAATTGCCCAAGGGCGGGTGGTTCCTCGGCCCCCCTCCCCTTCTGGGCTTCCCACCACTCCTTGGCATCTTGGAGATGCCCTTCGAATGCTGTATTAGTGGGTGGTCCTAATGCTTTTATCGGTCTTGCCCTGAAGTCATTTGTTCCCTGACCCAGATGCTGGCAGCTCTTTCTTTAGTAGGTGCCAACTTCAAGCAGTTGGCCCAGGAGAAGTTCAGGGAATTGGTGGTGGAGGGTCTCTCGGTGGGGGGGCATTTGGGGCAGAGACGGCCTGCTCATGGACAAGTGTAAGAAGTCCAGGAAGGATGGAGGACACACCCTTCATGCCCACAGGAACCACCGGGTCACACACAGGTCTGTTTTTAGAATCACATACCTTGTGCTTCTGAGAGACTTGGCAGGGTGTTATGGAGTGTCCCAGAGCAGTCTGGCAAGTGGCTTAGGGCTAAAGCCAGGGAAACCGGTTCTGTCTCAGTTGGGGGGTGGGGGCTGTGTGCTTAAGGGCAGATGCTTCTCCCGGGTGGGGGAGTTAGTGATAACAGAGGCCCCGGCTTCTGCCAAGGTACTGAACAACGAAGGCAGAGAATCTAGAAGCTTTTCACCAATTCTCAGCATAGGAAAGTTACCTAACAAACCCTGACACCCGTTTTGGGCCCTCACTATGCTGGTGGCATTTTCCCCAGTTCATAAAATACAACTTGTGACTTTCCCAGGACTTGCTGAGTAACTCACCCTCTCACCCCCCCAACCCCCCCATCCATCCATCCCCCACTCACCCATCCCTGCACCCACCCATCTATACCCCCACCCATACCCCCCATCCATCCCTTTATTCATTCAGCCAACACTTAAGACTTAGCATGTGCCGCACTGTGCTAGGAGCGGGAATACTATGGTGAGGAAAAAGCAAAAACAGAAATTGTGGTTCTGGCCTCATGGAGCCAATAGTCCAGACAACAATTAAAGCAGATAAATGTAAGACTCCCACAGAGATCATGTGTGGAAAAGCGGCCATGGGTATTCTAAGAGGGTGGGTACATGTGGCTCAGGTGAACGAGCTAAGACAGGCATTCCTGGATGTGAGGGGAAATGCTTCCCAGACGAGGGAGGGCAGGGCTGCCGGGTGTGCTTCCGCCACCTGTGGAGGTCCCAGCACCTCCCTGAGGTGTGCGGACCAGGTGAGAGAAGGTTCTGTGTGGGTGCTGTGTTGGAACCCCTGCCTTTGCCCAGGAGAAGCTGCCAGAGATAGCTGATGGGACACCATGCGTCCTGTGTGTTCCAAGGCCAGTGGTTTAGTTGCCCCAGGCATCATTCTGAACCCCAAAGCCTTGGCCCAAATGCCCACTTTTCCCTTTTGAGCTGGTGGAAGAGTGCCCCATGTGGTAAGGAAATGTCCCAGGTGGACAGACCGGCATGGCGCCCACACGCCTTGGCCGCCATTGTGCCACCTTTTAACAGATGCTACAAAAGCTTCGGGAGGACGAGCCACAGGCAGAGAGGCCCCTGGCGGAGCTTGACAACCTGGGGCACACAGACTGGGTAAGATGCGGCCCCCCGGCCCTGGGACACTGAGGATCTGTGCCTGGAGGGCCCTGGGAACCCTCCGTGGCTGAGGCCGTTCTTGTCCTCTCGGGGCCCAGGCCCGACTCTGGGTCCAGCTCATGCGGGAGCTCCGCCATGGAGTGAAGCTGAAGAAGGTGCAGGAGCAGGAGTTCAACCCGCTGCCCACCGAGTTCCAGCTCACGCCCTTCGAGATGCTCATGCAGGACATTCGTGCCAGGAATTACAAACTGCGCAAGGTCATGGTGAGTGCCGCGCGCGCCCGCGCACCCGCACGCTGCCCGGTGTGTAGGCCTCTCGGCCACTGTTCCAGTGAGAGGAAGGCACACGTGGCCCCGATTCGCTAGGGGACACAGCGTGACGAGGGCAGGGAGAGGCAGTGCGGGGCCCTGGAGGACCAGAGCCTGAGGCCGCGCAGCTCTGGAGCACTCCAAGGACTTTAAATGTGCGCGTTCACTTCGGCCCTGTGATGGCCCTGAAGGAGTGCCGCCGATCCCATTTCCACGTGAAGATCCGAGGTGTGGGAAAGCTAGTGCTGGTGCCAGGCCCTGGAGGCCACACCGAAGCCTCCCCCAGGGAGGGGTGCCGGGACCAGGCCGCAGTGGCAGACGCCCCCGAGGGCACGCGGGCTATGGCTGCCTCCTCACCCTCCCCATAGGTCGATGGGGACATTCCTCCCAGGGTGAAGAAGGACGCCCACGAACTCATCCTGGACTTCATCCGCTCCCGGCCTCCCCTGAAGCAGGTGCCTGCTCTGCCCCGTCCCCTCTCCTGAGCGGTGCTGGGGGGTTGGTCCTGGGACAGCCCCGCCAGCAGCTCTGGACTCCTGTCTGCCCCTGGTGGGCCTGGCTGAGCGTCCTCAGACGTGTTCCCCTGGCGTGCGCACGCCAGGGCCCCGCCCCTTCTACCGGGAGCTGCCACACCCCTTGCAGGTCTCGGAGAGAAGGCTCCGCCCACTACCCCAGAGACCGAGGACCCTGCACGAGAGGATGCTGGAGGAAGTCAAGCAGGAGCGCAGGCTGCGCCCTGTGGGGGGTGAGCCAGGGTCACCCTGCCCCCTCCCGCCCCTCTCCTGCCCACTCGCTCCCCTACCCCACCCCTCACCGCCTTGCCTCCCCCAGGGTTTGGCTCTCTGCCCTGCATCCTCAACGCCTGCTCTGGGGACCTCAAGTCCACCTCCTGCATCAACCTGTCCACTACGGATGCGGGGGGCAGCACCCAACGCCCACGGCCCCGAGTCCTGCTCAAGGCACCCACCTTGGCAGAGATGGAGGAGATGAACACGTCTGAGGTCAGAGCCCACAGGCTCCTGAGCAGAGACCATGGGTGGGGGAACGACGCAGGAGAAAGGGCTGAGTGAACCCAGGTGCAGAGTCCAGCTGTGTGGGGCGTCCACTCCTCAGGGCCGCTGCCAGCGCCCTCCTTTGAAGCTGGTGTCCTGCTGTGGAGCTGGGTCTGCCCTGTGAGCAAGCTTGGCGGGGCTCAGGGACCCTTCCCCATCTTGGTGGCTCAGAGCCACCCATTCCCATACCACAAAAAGGGCTGAGGCGGAAGTGCTCCATCAGCGGGGCCGGGAGGCTGAGCAGCCCCCTGGCTGATGTGACAGGCCAGCACATCCCAGCGTGGCTCCTGGTCTTGTCCTCGCTGCCCTCTGAGCCTGGAAGACCAGGGACGGTGGCCATCTCAGTGGGCCCCGCTGACCCCAGACCTGTCTTCTCCATTCCCCTTTTGGAGGCCACAGGGAAGGATTTGGTTTTGGGGGGGGGCACTTGCCTCCCACTGTCCAGAGGACAGTCGGGCTGGGCAGTGAGTACAGGATGGCCCCGTGGCCTCCGTGGACCCAGCAGCATCCTGTGTCCTAAGCCTTAGCCCAGGGACGGGCAGGAGGTGCCGGTGGGAACAGTGGTTAGCGTAGGGCTGAGTCTGCTGTGTCTGCAGGAGGAAGAGTCTCCATGTGGGGAGGTGACACTGAAGCGGGACCGCTCCTTCTCAGAGCATGACCTTGTCCAGCTCCGGAATGAAGTGGCCTCTGGTCTGCAGCCTGCCACTCATGCCCTAGGAGGCTTGGAGCCATCTCGGGCCCGCGCAGGCAGCATGAAGTCCTGCAGGCCGAGCCCGCAGGAACAGGGCAAGTGCTGCCTCTCCCCCCTCCCCCCCCCACGCTGTCCTGTGGGCACTGTGTCCCCTGGCCTGCCTCCTTGTCTTCCTGAGCAGGCAGCACCCGGAGGGTACAGGGAGCTCGTCTTGCAAGAAGGGTGTTTAACATTCAAGCCCAGGCGGCCCTCATTACCTCAGGCAGGCACCCCGCACTTTTTTTTAACTTAAAACTTCTTTTTTAAATTAGTAATCCATATTTATTATATAAAAACTTTAAAAATTCCTATGATCCTATTCCCTAGAGATAATTAGTATTGATTTATTAGTGTATATAAAGAAAGCTGGAAAGATGGACAGATGACAGTGAGAGGGTGGGTGACGGATGGATGGATGGATGGATGGATGGATGCATGGACAGATAGATGGATAGGTAGGTGATTGACAGAGCCTTCTAGTTTTGGGTTTGTTTTTTTTTTCCTGTCAGTGGAAACGTGTCCACAATGAACCAAACGGGCCGTGCAGCAGACACGGCTTTGGAACCTGACTTGTTACCTCAGTTTCTCGGGAGCCTTCCCGTGCCTGTCAGTCAGCAGAGGACAACAATTGTGCAGGCCGTGCAGTTAGTCCTGCAGTTGTGAGGGCTGTGCTCCACGAAGTGCCAAGAGGACATGGGGTTCTCGCCCCTCCAGACATGGCCAGGCCCCCTTCTCTGCCCTCAAGGTCACCTTGGCATGTAGCCGCTTTCAGGACAGTCCCATCTGGTAGTTACGACTCTCTTCCCATTGTGAAGAGGGCCAGTTCCATACCTCACTGTCCTCCAAACTTCCCTCGAGACTCAGAGACCCCCTGCTGGAGGTGAGTCTTCCTTCTGCTATTCAGTTCCTCTTTGCCCTTCTGGGTCTCCAGTGTGAAATGCCGTGGGTGGGACCAACAGAGCAGGGAGGTCCCACATGGCCAGTGCTGTCTGGTTTGTTGGGCCAGTGCTGCGGCTGCCGTGGCTACATCGTGGGACTGCCAATGTGGCTCATTCATGGGGCTCAGACTCCTTCAGGTGTCCCTGGGCCCTGCCACACCTGCATGGGGTCCCTAATGTGGGTGACATGCCCTCTACTTGACCTTTGTTTGATCACCCCCGCCCCCATGAAACTGCCCCACCATCTCCTGCTTCCTGGCAGGCCATCTCGCTCGTCCCCAGGGAACCCCCCTCCCACACCAGAATTCTGCCCGCTTGTCCTGACAGGGCCTTTTACTCTTCCTCCAGGTTCCTTCTCTGTGAGCGTCCAGTCCCAGCCTGACCCCAGCTCCTCCCGACCCAGTGACCTGGGCACAGCTGAGAACAGGCCAGAGGCCTCTGCGGCCCCAGATGCCAATCACCTGTGGCTGGTGAGTGAGGGAGGCGTTGCTGTCCAGGGTGGCTGTCGTCACCCCTTCCCAGGACAAGGCTCTATCCTGAGCCTTCAGTGGGTGCCGCTGGTGGGCCCCCGCCAGCACCTGAGAGGTTGGTCTTTGCTGCCACCTTCTGGGCACTGTGGCCCCCAGAAGAGAAGGACCTTGCTGGGGGGCAGCCTGCATCTAAAGTTCTTAGTCCCAGCTCTGATGAGAAACCCAGCACCCTGTGCCTTGCAGCCTTCGTGATGTGACAGGAGAGCATGTCATGGGGCCGCGGCCTCGGTGGCTCCTTGCCCTCCCTGCACCTCGGGTTCATCAGCTGTGAAATTCTGTGTGACTGGTAATTGTGGAGAGCTAACATTTGGACCTTTGCCTTGGTGTGTGATTTGATCAAATGGGATGATAGCCACTGGGCACCTTGCTGGTGGGGAGGGGAGTCAGTGGTGTGGGTTTCATCATTTCTTGTTTTATCAAGAGGCTCAAATGAGAACAGACTGTTCAAGTGCTTTGAAAAGTAAGTGCCACATAAATGCAAGGCAGTGTTACTATTATTATTTCCCAACTGAAGGTTACACTTTCTCCTTTGAGTTCTATTGCTAGATGAAAAACTACCCCCAACCTCAGCTTAAAACAATAAATATTTATGATCTCTCATAGTTCCTGAGGGTTAGGAAGCCCGAAGTGGCCCAGCTGGGTGGTCTGGCTCAGGGCCTCTGCAGAGGTCACAGCTGGAGTGTCAGCCAGAGCTGCCGTCTCATCTGAAGCAGCCCCTCCCACGGGGGCTCCTCACAGGCTGTGGGCAGAAGGCCTCAGCGCCTCCCCATGGGGACCCTCCACAGGGCTGCTTGAGTGTCCCCACAACATGGCGGCGGGTCCCCCAGAGCACGGGCTCCAAGAGAGCCAGGCAGAAGCCACCGTGTCTTTGTGACCAAGTTGCTGACATGCCACCGTGTCATTTCCATCTTAATCTGTTCATTAAAAGCGAGTCCCTAAGTCCATTCTCTGGGAACCACTTCTTGAAGGGAGGGATGTTGGGGAATTAGCGACATACTTTACAATGATAAGTCCCAAAGTGCTTTTCAACTCATATCTTGAGAGTGTGTTCTTTGAGGTCAGCCAGTCTCAGTGGCTTCATCCCCTCCACACACACCCCCTCCCCAGCACACGCTCATGGCCCAGTGTGGGGAGCAGGTTGCTGGTCTCTCTGCACCCCCCAGGAGAGCTCTAGGTCAAGTTTGCTATTACTATGACACCTGTAAGGTTTAGAGGGGGGGGATTGCTCAATATCAACGGCACCATCAGGCTACTGGAAATAGAAATCAGAAGCCTGAGGACCTGGTGCTTCAGGTCAGAGTGGAAAGCTGTTCCCCAAGCCACACAGTAGTAGGTGTTCAGCAACCCTAATCAGCATAATCCACTGAAAATCTGAAACAAAATTCACTCTCCAACTTGCATCTCGGTTGCTAACGTTTTTAGTCTGGGGGCTAGGCATTGAGCTCAGGGCTTCACGCGTTATCTCAGCGGAGCCGAAAACAACCCTACCTGACAGAAGAGGAGCCAAGGCATTGAGAGGCCAAGTTCTCTGCGAAGCTCAGGGGGACATAGCTTGTACTCACTGTGATGGCCAAAGGGGTGGACAGTTATGATGAGTAGGATACATACCACCTGCAAGTGGGCCCATTCAGAGCCCCAAGTGGTGAGTACTGAGTGAAGCAGGTGCCGGAGGATCCCAGGGCCTTCAGCTGCCAGGGAGGAGATGCTAGGAGCAGGGGCGGTGGGCCTGGGGACCCTGTTTGGTTTGGATCGGCTGTGTGTGCAGGTGGAGAGCAAGGTGGGAAGCATGTACTTCAGGTCTGGGGAGCACTGTAAACAAAGGTCGGATGAGCGGTGCAGCCGAGGAGCTGGGGTGGCTGGACGGCTGGCTGGGCCCGGTCATGGGAACCGGGCCTGCAGCAGGACCTCATTGGAGAAGTGATGGGGGCTGGTACAGCTCCCAGGCATGGATGAGCTGAGACCAGGGTGCCTTAGGAAAGTGCTGGGCTTTGGCAGACAGGCCAGAAAGACGTCAGGGTCCTCAGGGGAGAGAGGAGCTTGTGGGGAGGCGCCTGGAAGGCCTCATACCTGAGGCCCAGAGTGAGCACCATGCCCTGGACCCTCCTGCCCCCAGGAGTTCAGCCACCCCGTGGAGAGCCTCGCTCTGACCGTGGAGGAAGTGATGGGCGTGCGCCGCGTGCTGGTGAAGGCTGAGATGGAGAAGTTCCAGCAGGACAAGGAGCTCTTCAGCAGCCTGAAGAAGGGGAAGGTGAGGCAGCCCGGACCCCGAACTGTCCCCTCACCAGGCAGGAGCCCTGCCTGGGGAACAGGCGAGGATGGGACTGGACCCAGTGAGTTTTGGACAAAATTCGGCTCTGACAAAACCTTTTCTTACAGATTTGCTGCTGCTGCCGAACCAAATTCTCGCTGTTCTCCTGGCCGCCCACCTGTCTCTTTTGCAAGAGGTGAGTCTTATGTAAGTACCTTGGCTGTGAATTAACATGGGAAGGAGGAGGTGAGAAACCTCTAGGTCAGTACTGTGCATAGATCTTCCTGATTGTGATTGTGGGGATGTCCTATCATGCACCATGGATGGTGCCACTAAGGAGCAGATTCATTTTTAATTTAACTTAAATAGCAAAGGGTTCCCACTTTCAGCCAACATGGGGCAACAGGCACCAAACAGGCACCTTCCAGCTGAAACAACCAAGAAACAAGAACAAAAAGAAAAAGCAAAAACTATGAAACAGTGCTATTCAAGACATTGGATATCAGGCAATAAACAGGAAGAGGCCAGGGTGAGCTCTATGATCATCTCAGCAACCTGGAGTTTCTAGGTCACGAGTTAGAGCCTCCCTGGCTCCCTGAGCGTAGGAGGTAGAGCTGAGAACCCAGGGCGACCAAGGCAGTTAGAGCACCCAGTGCAGACTTGCAGAGAGGAACCCCAGAAGTGCAGAAGGCAGAAGGCCCCCCTTGAGTGTGCAGCAGAGTGCTGGTCAGCACAAACATGCACAGAAATTACTGAAGGCTGGCAAAGAATCATCCTGAAGCAGACTCACAGCCTCCTGCACATGGGCCAAATAGGGCACACTGCCTCTTTTGTAAATAAAGTTTTATTGGGACACAGCCACACCCATTTGTTTATTTATTATTCATTTAGCCACACCTAAAACATTTATGATATAATCCTTTACAGAAGAAGTTTACTGGTCCTCTCCTAAAGGTTTAAAGGAACAGTACTAGGAATGGTGTCTGCTCCCAGCAGCCATGGTAAAAATGTAATATGGGCCACTCAGTAGGACACACAGAAGGGTCTTGCCTCACTAGTGGGGAATAGTACCTAGCCTGTGCATTGCTCCAGACCTAACAAATCTCAAAATAACAGGACCTCAAAGGATCAAACTATTCCCAAGCATCCTAACTGCTTCTCAGAACAGAGCTCAACAATAGGAATAAAAGGTTTCCAGCATCCAGCAAGGTAAAACACTTGGCGTCTAATTAAAGAATATCAGGCATGTCAAGAAGCAGGAAAGAAGGGCCGGCTGAGTGGCTCAGTGGGTTAAGAGCTCTCTCAAGAGTCTGAGCTCTGAGCAATAGCGGTTCGAGTCCCGGACCGAGCTGAGCTGCCAACAGGTGGCAGGATGGCTCAGCTAAAAAAAAATAAATAAAGGGGGCCGGCCGAGTGGCGCGATGGTTAAGAACTCGCTTGGGATGCCAGAGGGTCCCGGTTCGGATCCCACATATGAGGGCCAGTGACACTGCCCTCTACAGCTAAGATGCTGAACAACGGCTCAACCTGGAGCTGGGCTGCTGTGAGTCGCCGGCGACGGCGTGGGCTGCAGTCCCTGTGGCAGTGGGTTGCCATGGGCTACCGTGTGTAGCCAGCAGCCAGCGTGAGCGGCCAGCAGCCGCAGTGAGCGGCCGTCCAGAAGCCGGCGACTGAACTGCCTCACCCGGGAAGAGAGCAATGATGGTGTCAACTTGGGCCAGTGAAGCAACATCCTGCACAACTAGACTGAAGAACAAAATGACAGCAACTTGTCTGTCCCCCTTCCCCCAATTCCCCAGCAGTGTTCCCATCCCCCCAATTCACCAATAAAAAAAAAAATTTTAAATAAATAAATAAATAAAGGAGAAGCAGGAAAGCATGACCCACGATGAGAAAGAATCGGTCAAAACTTGCACAGTTGTTACAATTAGCAGATAAGGGCATTAAAAGTTTTGAACTGCATATCATACATTCAGAAAGTTAGAAAAATGGAAAACATAAAGAAGACACAACTCAAACCTCTAGACTTGAATATTAGAATGTTTGGGATGAAATTTACACTGGATGAGATTTATGGCAGGTTAGACATTCAGAAGACAGCAATAGAAACTATCCAAACACTAAGAAAAAAAAGAATTTAAACAATGACAAAGGTGTCAGTGAGCTATGGGATACCTTCAAGAAACCTGATTTGGTGTCTTTAAAGTCTCCAAAGGAGAAGTGGGGGACAGAAGAAGTATTTGAAGAAATAATGGCTAAAGAACTTTAACAAATTTGATGAAAAATATAAACCCAGAAGAAACTCAATGAATCCCAAGTACAAGAAACATGAATAAAATTACACCAAGGCACATATTAATTAAATTGGTCAAAACCAATGATAAAGAGAAAGTCTTAAATTCAGCCAGCAAAGACATGATATGTGCAGAGGAAACACAAAGATGTTTCGTCTCGTCAAAACAGTGCAAGCAAGATGACACTGGAACAACATCTTTCAAGTACTGAAAGAAAAATACTGTCAATCTAGAATTCTGTACCCAGCAAGAATATGTTTGAAAAACAAAGGCAAAAGTAAAGACATTTCTAGAAATACAATAGCCAAAAGAATTCTTCATCAGCAGACCCACGCTAAAACAAGGGTTAAATGAGGTCCTTCACGTAGAAGGAAAATGATACCAGATGGAAATCTGAATCCACACAAAGGATAAAAAGCAACAGAAGTAACAACTACTTAGATAAATATATGACTATTGTCTTACAACACTTTAAAAGGTAAACCAATATCCAGGACCCAACAAGGTAAAATTCAGTATCTGGCACCCAAAGATTACAAGGCATGCAAAAAAAAAACTAATAACACTGTACTGTGGGTCTTATATCTATAAGTAAAAAGAATCACAGCACTAGCATTAACATCAGGGAGGGCAGAAATCAGAAGTATGTGATTGTAAGTTTCTTATACTCTACATGAAGTGGTGAAATATTACTTGAAGGTGATATGCTAAAGACATATACTATAAGACCAATGCAACCACTAAAACAAGAAAACAGAGGAATAGCTTATGTCAACAAAGAAGATAAAATGGAATCATAAAAAAATAAGACACAAGGCAGAAAAGGGAACCAAGAACAAACTGGGAAAAAAAGAAAACAAATAGCAAAATGACAGACTGAAACCCAACTATGTCAATAATCACATTAACTATAAATGGTCTGAACAACCTAATTGAAAGGCAGAGTTTCCCAGGTTGATCAAAGAAAGTAAGATGATCTGCCTACAAGACATGTACTTTATTTTTTTTAAAGATTTTTATTAAAACATAGCTAGTATACAATATTGTATTAGTTTCAGGGGTACACCATAGTTATTTAACATTTATATACCTCAAGAAGTGATCATGAGAAGCCCAGCAGCCATCAGCTCACACCGTAACAATATTATTGACTATATTCCCTATGCTGTGCATTGCATCCCCAAGGATTGTTTGTTTTATGCCTGGAAATTTAGACCTCTTATTCCCCTTCACCTTCCCCCCCGCTTTTAATTTTTCAACTACAGTTGACATTCAGTATTATTTTATATTAATTTCAGGTGTACAACATAGTGGTTAGACATGTATATAATCTAAGAAGTGGTCCCCGGGTAGTCTAATACCCACCTGGCACTATACATAGTTGTTACCACATCATTGACTATTTTCCTTTTGCTTTACTTTACATCCCCATGATTACTTTGTAACTACTAGTTTGTACTCTTAATCCCTTCCTCTTTTTCACCCTGCTTCCAACCCCCCTCCCATCTGGCAACCATCAGAATGTTCTCTGTGTCTATGAGTCTGTTTCTGTTTTGTTTTGTTCTTTAGATTTCACATATAAATCACATAACATCTGTCTTTCTCTGTCTGACACTCCACTCAGCACAATACCCCCCAGGTCCATCCATGTCACCACAGATGGCAAGAACCCATTCCCTTCCCTGGCTGAGCAATAGTCCATTGTATATATGTACCACCTCCTCTTTATCCATTCTTCTATCAACACCCAAGCTGCCTCCACATCTTGGCCATTGTAAACAATGCTGCAGTGAAAATATGGATACACGCGTCTTTTTGAACTAGTGTTTTCAGTTTCTTCAGATAAATACCCAGAAGTGGAATTACTGGGTCTTTGTCTCCTGTTATAGCCTTTGTTTTTGTTTTTTAAGATTTTATTGGGGAATTGGGGGAGGGGAACAGCATTGAGGAATCGGAGAAGGGGAACAGACAAGTTGCTGTCCTTTTGTTCTTCAGTCTAGTTGTGGAGGATGTTGCTTCACTGGCCCATGTTGGTTTATCATTGTGCTTTTCCTGGGTGAGGCAGATGGGTCGCCAGCCACTGGACGGCCGCTCACACCAGCTGCCGGCCACTCACAGTAGCTTATGGCAGCCCACTGCAGCTTCACTGCAGCCTATGCCGTCGCCGGCGACTCACGGCAGCCCAGCACCAGGTCGGAGCTGTTGTTCACCATCTTAGCTGTAGAGGGCGCAGCGTCACTGGCCCAAATGTGGGATCTGAACCGGGGCCATGCTGCTCAGAGCCGGCATCCCAAGCCAACTCTTTACCAATGTGCCACTTGACTGGCCCTATAGCCTTTGTTTTAAAGACTATTTTGTCTGGTATATGTATTGCTACCCCAGCTCTTTTTTTTTTCCATTTCCATTTTCATGAAATATCTTTTTCCCATCCCTTAATTTTCCATCTGTGACTTTCAATCTGAAGTGAGTCTCTTGTGCAGCATATATAAGGGTCTTGTTTTCTTATCTATTCAGCCACCCTGTCTTTTGATTGGAGCATTTAATCCATTTACATTTAAAGTCATTGTTGATATGTAGCTATTGCCATTTTACTATATTTTTTATCTTTTTTTTCAAAACATACTTTTTAAAAAAATATTTTTTAAATTAAGGATTTTTTTTCCAAGTTCTTTTTTGTGTGTGTTCAAACTTTATTGGGGAACACAGTGTGTTCCTCCAGGACCCATCAGCTCCAAGTCAAGTTGTTGTTTTCAATTCAGTTGTGGAGGGCACAGCTCACTGGCCCATGCGGGAATCGAACCAGCAACCTTGGTGCTATGAGCCCGTGCTCCAACCACTAGAGCCAACCGGCTGTCCCTCAAGACACGTACTTTAAATAAAAAGACATCAATTAGTCGAAAGGAGGATGGAGAAAGATATACCATGCCAACACTAAAGGAAGCTCAAGTTCATATGTTAATATCATACAAAGTAGCTTGCAAAGAATATTAGCAGAGATAAAGGAGTTCATTTCATAATGATAAAAGGAGGAAATAACAAACCTAAACATTACACACCTAACAGCAGAGACTCAGAATACACGGAGCAGAAACTGATAGGCCTGCAAGGAGAGAGAGATAAATCCCCAATTATGTTTAGAAATTTCCATATCCTTCTTTCAACAATTGATAAAACTTGTAGACAGAAAAAAACTAAGGATATTGAAGATTTGAACCACACTATGAACCATCCTGATCTGACATTTGCACAGCACTCCACCCAACAGCAGCACACGTTCTCAAGTGCACAAAAATCTGTATTCTGGGTCATAAAACACGTCTCAAAAATGTAAAAGGACTTGAGTCAGACAAAGTAGGTTCCCTGACCACAATGAAATGAAAGTAACCCAGAGGTTTGTTGATGGTAAATTAATTATGGGACATCCGTGCAAGAGAACATGGCCCCTTGTTTTACAAAATGAATTTGGACAATTTGTACTAATGTGGAGAAGAGCCCCTGGTGCGTATTTATAGAATAGTATGTGCAATACCCCATTTCATTTATTTTTATCTGAAATGTGTATTTTTGTTACTACATGCTTCTATCAAGAGGATGAAGATGTGTTAGCAGGGGTCATCTCAGAACAGGGCTTTAGAGGAGAGGGTTCCTTTGTCTAAGTTACAATTTTCTCTAATGTTCAGATTTTTTAGAAGAAGGTATTTACTTTTGAAGTCAGGTGTGGGGAATGGGAAAAGGGAATCACTGCTTAAAACTGAGCATCTTGATCGAGGCCCCCCTGGCTCAGATGGTGAGAAGTGTGAAGCACACACAAGAGTGGAGGGTGAGATACTCTGAAAAAGGGCCAAGGGGCAGAAGCATTTTGGATGTAGAGCTAAGTAAAAAGAAAAGCAGGATTGGGGAGTAAAATGAAAGTAAAACACTGAAGTAAGCAGGGGCCAAACAGGAGGCAAGGACCGGCGGGCCAGGCAGGTGTGCTGGGGGACACGACAACAGGCAGCTGTGTCTCCGTGGCCTCTTCAGAGCTGACACTGCTTTTCCCCTTTCCCTTCCAGAGCGGTCTGCACTTCCTGTAGCATAAAGGTGAGGATCTTCCAGGGTCTGAGCAAGGCCCCCAGGGGCGTCAGGTGTCCTGCTACCCTGGCTTGGCTTGTCCAGGAGTGGTGGGGGCACGGTGGGACGGGGCTCCACCATCTCCGTCAGATGACCCCACCCTCACTAGCCACCTTTCATCTCCCCGCCTCCAGGCAGACTCCATTCCTGTACGTTCTGAGACTGTCTAGTTTTTAATGACCCTTGTAGATGCCCCCAACGCATTTTTAAAAAACATTCTACCTTAGTAGGACGGTGACAAGAAACCCTTCAGTTCTCCTCTAACAGTCCTACCTTCTGACACTACAGCTTGAGTTTTTGGAGGTCCTTTATAGCAGTTCAGGGTGTCTGTTACATACATGTGCACTGACGTAAATGGACAGTGACATTTAGAAGTGGTCACCCACTTACGCCTCAGCCCAGAAACAAGAATCTGCTTAAGAGGGATTTCCATCACCCCTACTTTATATCCTGCCACGTGGCGGTGGACAGATTTCCCCCTCCGAGGCCTGCTTGCTGCATGCAGGCGTAGGTGAGGTCCTGCGTGCTCTGAGAAGGCACCGCGCCTGCTCTAAGAGGTACCTGTGTAGGTGAGCCCACTTGGGTGTGTGGAAGGTGTGCTGACACCCAGAGCCTGCGGAGGGCGAATGGTGACCTCTAGGCCTGCCCCTGCTGCCACACAGGCCCAGAGCTGGTGGTGGTCCGCAGGGGGTGTGTGGCTGCATGTTCTCTGTGGGGGTGACTTGTCCACATCTCCCCGTGTTGCAGATGAAGACGCCTTCTAAGAAGTTTGCACACATCCCCGTCTATACGCTGGGCTTTGAGAGTCCTCAGAGGGCGTCAACTGCCAAAACCACGACCACACAGAGAAGAGACGTCTTCCAGTGCGTACCTTTGCTCTTTGCTGGTGTTGAACGGTGGTCAGGCACTGCCAGTATGCAGGAGCTGGGGTGCGGGTGGGGGTCTCGTTTGCTGGGACACCCCCAGGAAACACATCCCATGCGGGTGTTTTGAGACGGAGCTAGCTGGGGGAACCTGGGGGCTACTGAGTAGCGACGTGGGAACCGGAAGGGGTGGTCAGAGCCCAGGACTCAGCTGATGCGGGGGCGGGGCGGGCAGGGTTCTCGCTGATGGACCTCTCCTGCCCCAGGTCCTTGCAGGGGTCTCACTGGTCAAGTGTGGAGGCGGCGTTCCCGCACATCTACGCCCACGGCTGCGTCCTGAAGGACGTCTGCAGCGACTGCACAAGCTTCGTGGTGGACGTTGTGCGCTCCAGCCGCAAGAGCGTGGACGCTCTCAACACCACCCCTCGCCGTGCCCGCCAGACCCAGTCCCTCTACATCCCTGACACCTGGACTCTAGACTTCAAGTGACAGCCCTTGGCCACCCCGGGCCAGCTGGGAAACTCCCCGTCCTGGGCACTGCGGCCGGCCTGCCAGCCCGCGAGTGTGCATGTACATATATACATACGCAGATAGTTTTCTGTAATATACACACAGCCTATATATTTATACGCGTGCTTCCAGCCCCATGGTCCGCTTGGGGTCAGGCTTACTTCCAGGACTCTCCCTGGGAGGCTGTTTCCTCTGAGGATTCCTTGGGTGGGGTGGGGACAAGACAGGATGGGAAGGGCAGTTGGAGGTAGGGCAGAGGATGCTGGGGCTCAGGGGACACCCTGCCCCATGTTTGTTCTCTTCATCCCCTCCCTGGGTAGACACTTCTGGACCCACCTAGGGAGCCTGAGTGAACTGAGATTCTCCCAAGCAGGTGCCTGAGACACATGCCCTTGTGGGGGTTGGGGGGGGGTGCAGGTCGGAGGCCACACTCACTTCCTGCCTGACATCCATGCCCTGCAGTACTGGGAGGAGCCCTGTCAGTTTGTATTCACTGCCACTCTTGGCCTAATAAAGGTGGTTTCAGTGTCTGGCCTGCGGTGTGAACTAAGGACTTCAGCCATAGCAGGAGGTGTGTTCTCCAAGGGCGGCAGCTAGGCTCCAAGGGCCACCTGCTGCCGCGTGCAGTCATAGTGCCCACTCTCTCCTCTGCCCAGCTTCATGGTCTTGCCTCCTTGGTCCTATGACTGGCATGGCTGCGTGTGGAATAGCAGCTCAGCCTGCTGCCTGTCCCCTACCAGCCTGGGAGGCCCTTTGGCCTCATCCCCCAGATCCTTCCTGCTGTTCTCCAGGCAGATGCCCCCCTTGGGATTCGCAGGGTGGGAGCAACTGCAGAGGGCTGCAGCAACACCCTGTGCCCCTGTGTGCCTTGGCGGTGGCTTCTGTTGTCATCCCACCCTGCAGGTGAGGAAACAGCGAAGGAATTTGGCTAAAGATATGCGTAGCTTGCCTGAGGCACAAGACTTGTCACAGATGGGCCTGCAGGAGAAGACATTCATCAGCTGGGTCAGGGCATTCAGGGCACAAAATCAGAGCAGCCAGTGAAAAGTGCCAGCTCCCAGCCCTTGTGAACGCCAGCTCCCAGCCCTTGTGAACGTATTGCTCCCTTTCAAAATGAGAGAACCGTCACAGAGAGGGTCAGGGGTTGCTCCGCAGTCATGCGACCAGCAGTGAGAAAATGGGCCAGGCCACATGTGCAGGCCCACTCCCATAAGCGGCACACTTGGAAACCAAAGACATCCTGGGACAACTGGGCTGAGCGGAGGGGCCCACACAAGGCTCAAAAGTGAGTCAAGAGGGAACGTCACGGGCAGGTGGGTCTTGCTGCTGTCCTCAGCGCTGCTGAGCTGGCCTGAGAATTCCAGGTACAGAGGCTGTGCCTCCATCTCACCTAACAGATCTCGAGAAATGAAGTCTAATTTAAAACTTGACAACCAAATTTGTGGTGTGGGAAGAGACTCATGTTCAGAATCTGTTCAGGGAAGGTGGCACTCAGGTTGGGGTGATGCTGCCTCCCTTGGTCACACAGCCTCCCTATGTCACACAGCTGTTGCTATGTGAGGGCAAAGCAGAAAGCTCCAGGCTGAGTGTTGCCTTACAGCTACTGCCACGACCGCCCCCCTGCACTAACCCCTGACCTAACGAGGTCCTGAGGAAGTGTCTCGGAACGCTGAGACCCGGTGGAATGATATCGGTAAAGCTTCCTCTAGGGAGTGTCTCGGAAGGCCGAGACCCGGTGGAATGATACCGGTCATCTCCCTTTATTTGTATAGGATGCGGCACAATGGCGCTGTCCTGGGGGTTGTGCAGGCTGTGTGAAGGCGCAGTACATGTTGGAGTACAGTGGGAGCTGGTTAATGGAAAACAGCCTTAAGGCACGTAGCACTTACGGATCTTTGAGTAATCCAGTTTCTCTTCCTTTGATGTCTTCTCAATACAAGCCATGCAACGACCCATTCGGGGCTCAGTCCTCTAGGCTGATGCCCCTTGGTCTCGCTTTATTTAGCCTTACCTCTGTCTCTTGTGCTCTTTCACTGTGTCGCCCTCTCGCTTCCCATTGCCCTTGCCACGCAGGACATGACAGCTGAGACTCCCCGAGTTTTCATCCACAGGCAAGGCAATCAGTATGCATAAATCGGCTGCATCACTTGACCAGGAGTGACACAAACTCTGTTTACCAACTAGCCTGGCCCCGAACAATAAGGGATAGGAAGGTGGTTCCTGGGAGTCCCATCTGTGCTCAGCACAACCCTTTAGTAGCTAGATTGTAGGCAGGCTAGTGTCTAGGGAACTCTGCAGGAGTGGCTGGAGGAGTTGGGATGTGGGGAGCTTGAGGCAGCAGCTATGTGCCAATCTGTGTGAAGAATTTCAGGGTCCCAGGGACCAGTACAGGCAGACAGACCACCCATGTGCATGCGTACACGCATACACACACACACACACACACACACACACACACGCCGTCTCTGCCTCTTCTTCTCAGTCCTTGCCATTGGACTTCCTCATATGAACTGTGGAACCACAGACACGAATGCAAATCCAGATTCTACCCGGGCCAGTCACTATTCTCTGAGTCCCAGTTTCTTACCTGTAAAAGGGGGATACCGACCTTGCAGGAGGAAGGATTTGGACCAGTGCTCGGCCTGGCTCCACAGTGACAGCCATCTCTGCTCCAGGCTACCCTCTCCAGTCTTCCATCGCAGTGGGAGAACCTTACCCGACACCAGGTCATCTTGCTCTTGCATTTGGATCTTTGCAGCGCTGGGGTTCTCAATCCGCCTGCACATTTTAATCCTCTGAAGACCTTTTTAAAATGCCAAGGCCCACCTCGGAGTTCCTAGGGCTGGGTCCTTCATCTTTATTGTAAACATCTCCCAGGACGTTGTGATGTACAGTGAGGGCGACGAGCCTCCACCTCAGACCGCGGATTCCCATACCGAGATGTACAGGAAATCACCTGGGGCGCAGTAACACCACAAACTCCCAGGACGGCACCTAAGATTTGGTTTCAGTCTATCCCGGGATGGGGTTGTCCAGAAATCCGCGGCTTTGGGAAGATGCACGGTTTGGATGTGCTTACGTCTAATGAGGGAGCTGTCCCGTCTGCAGCCTTGAATCCAGGCTGAGGAGTCACAGGCAGGGCGTGCAGAGCAGGGACTAGGGCCCTGCGGGTCCCCCAAATGTCACCTGCGCACCGCCACCCGCAACGCCGCGGGGCCGTGCGCCCACCTGCACGCACTGCCTCTTCACCTGGCGTGTCCCTCCGCGCCGCAGGCCGGGAGAACAGGAGCCAGGTCCGGGTGCGGGAGGCTCGGGGCCTGTGCGCCCCCGCCCCTGTCCCAGCCCGACACCTGTCGCGGGAACGCCTCGGGAACACTCGGAGACACCTGCCGCAGCGGCGCCCACGTCCCGCGAGAAGTCGTCGGGAGGTCCGCACCTTCTTCGACGTCACCGATGACGGAGAGGAAGTTCCGGAGAACCGCAGCGCGCAGACGCAGCACGCCAGCCTCTCGCCAGCGCGCCGTGAGTGCGCAGGCGCGCCGGGCGCTGTCTTCTGCTCTTCTCCCAGCGCCCAGGCGACGGCGGCCGTTGGGTCCTATGTCGCGCCGGGCCCTCCGCAGGCTGAGGGGGGAACAGCGCGGCCAGGAGCCCCTCGGGCCCGACGCCCTGCAGTTTGTTCTCCGTGATGACGATGATGCGGAAGAAGAAGGACCAAAGCGGGGGCCAGCTGGTCGGCGCCCCCGGGACGCAGGGAAGGAGGGCGTCCGTGTCAACAATCGGTTCGAGCTGGTGAGGAGTGCGGCTGCCCGCGGTGGGGGCAGCGTGCGAGGCGGGTCTGCACGGGCGAGGGCGTGACGTCACGGGGCGGGACGGCTCGGGTCTGGGCTGCAGCGGGAGGCGGGGCGAAGGGAGTGGGCGGCGGCGTGAGGTCATGGGGGCGGGGCGGCAGTTGGGCCACGTCGTTTGAGGCTGTGGTGAGGGGCGGGGCCGTAATGTCCAGGGATGGGGCAAGTGGGGTCCGGGTTGCAGTGGCGTGGCGTGGCTGTCAGGCTGAGGGGCGGGGCCGCGGCGTGGTGGGCGGGGCTTCACGTCTCAGGGTCTTGGGCGTCCTTCCCCTGGTTTCTGTCTCCACGTCAGGCACTTGCAGGGCCTTTACAAACATTTTCCTTTACTTCTCACCACCTAGGACCTGGTGTCTTGCTTACCTGTGTGTCCCCCACAGCCAGGTGTCCAGCGCAGAGAAATAACACGATGGGTGTGAGTTGAAGGAATAAACTCCCAACGGAGCCTCCTTAGTGCTGGCCTCAGTCTGTAATCTCGCATGTGTGTGCATTATCTTATTCTCGCTTCTCTGACCTTGTACAGTCAAGTAACATGAGTTTTGTTCACCTTGTATCTCCAGCACCATGTGTCTAATGCATAGTGGGAACTCAGTGGCTATTTGCTAAATAGTTGAGCAAATAGCAGTCTATCTGAAGATCATGGAGAATCTAGCGGCCCTTTGTAAGCTCCTTCATGGTCTTGCAATTTCTCCCAACTTCATATGGAGTTGGCAAGTTAAGGGGCCCATCATAAGACGGTGGGGAGTGTGAGACACTGGTCTGGAAGTCTGGTTTAGAGATTACTGGCCTTTCCTCTTGTGGTAAGAGATACCTTAACCATGGTCTCCCTCCATGCTTCTGATTCTCTGAGTGAAAGTAACTCCTTATCTGCTACCCTATTTCTTGTCATTTCTTTGTTTTTAACTTTTATTATGGATAATTTCAAACATGTACAAAACAGTTATGGACACACAGTCAGTTGTGTTTTCCCAGGACTTCCATCACATCATTTATCCTAAAATTTGCCAGTAATTTTTCAGGCTTCTTTCAAAACACTCCAGGTTTCTTTCCCATCTCCCTTGTTAATAGGTTGACATGCGTTTGTGCTGAAGTCAGTTGGCTGCGTTCACAGAACTTTTTCTGGTGGTGCTTTCTTCTTATTCCCACATCCTCCAGATTTAGCCCTTAATGACAATGACCATTATTTGGAGGACACTTACACATGCAGGCACTGCTGCTCTGTCATATGCTTCTCACAGCCTGGGAAGGAGGTCATGTTGTCCCCATTGTGCAAATGAGGTAGTAAGTGCCCCCTGTAATGTAAATTCAGGCTTTCTGACTTAAAACTTGTACTCTTAAGCATGCCATGTTATTTGTCTCTGAAGCAAAGTCAGTGCCCCTGGTGAAGAAGAAAGGAAGGTACATGGACGGGGCGGGGTGTTGGGGGGCTGAGAACAATGGCAGGTGCTAGTGTGCCAGTGGAGAAGAAGGTGGCTTATGTGGCTCCCGTGCACTCAGGTTGGAGGGACCCCAGGGCTGTACCTACTCAGGGCTGTGCTGTGTCTGGTCTGTTCTGCTTTCTGGGAGGATGTTGATATCACCAGCTCAGACCTCCTTCTGGTCTCTGGATTCACACATCTATCTCCTCTTGGATATTTCAGACATCTCAAACTCAGTGTGTCCAAACGTTAACTGCCTTCTGTTGAAGGGTATC